TTGTTTTTTGGATTCTCCTTTTTTGTCTTTAACAGGTCTGACTTTTCCACTTTTGTCAACTTGTTTCCACTCATCCTCTTCAGGAGGAATTTCAAAGGTTTCCTGCTCTTCTATCTGTTCTTCTTCATGCTCACGTTTATAACTTCTTTTTTTATTTCTCTTTTCCTTTTTACTTTCAGGTTTCTTTTCTTCTGCTTTTTCTTTAGTGTCTTCTTTCAATTCTTCTTTTGGTTCTTCTTTCACTTCTTCTTTTGGTTCTTCTTTCTGGGGTTTTCCTTCAGTTATAAGGATTTGATTTTCCATTGTTGGTTGTTCGTTTTGTGGATTATTTTTTTCTTTGATGATTTTTTTTTCATTTTGTTGGAGTTCCTCGTCAATTAAAGGAATAGAGGTAGTTTTATTTTCTTCCTTATTTTCTTCCTTATTTTCTTTCTTTCTTCTAACAAAAAATGCATTTTTTAATGTTTGTTGTTCAAATTTAATTGGACCTGAGCCTTTTTTTTCGTCTCTTTCTAAGTTTACTTTTTTGTCTATTTGTTTTGTTGCTCCAATAGTTTTTTCGTTTTTCATAACTTTATGTTCAACAGGTTTACTTCTTTTCCATGTTTTTGATGAAGCTATTTTTTCAAATGGAATTAAATTAGTTGTTGGAGTTATTTCATGAACTATAGGTGTTGCTGTTGGGGTAACGATTGTTTGTTGTCCTTTCTGTTTAACAATATCTGTTTCTTCTTCTTTTAATGGTTTAACAGCAATTGGTTGTTCAACTCCCTTCCGCTTTTTAAATGGAGGAGCATTACAGTTTAATTGTGTTGCGGGTGTAGATTTAGTCCTCAACGGAATAAAATCACTCATGAATATGTATTTCACAGTTCTTCTGTCTTTCTCTTTGTTTTTTATTCACTTTTCACTTTCTTTTATTATTCTTTTCTTTGTTATTTCTTTCTGTAATTGTTTTTCTTCTTTTTTATTTACTTTGTTTTTTATCCGAATTGCATAGAATTTTTCTCTTTTTTATGTTTCATTCTAAGAATTTTAGTAACAGAAAAACTATGAAAAATACCAAACATTATTGGCATTCATAGACTTGGTTTTTTTGGTTTTTATATCTCCTCAAAAATTGATGTTATAAATTTGTGGTAATGTTTTATTAATTATATTTTTATATTATCTGTAAAAGGTATTTTTTATTTAATTCACTTGCAAATTAATTCTATTCAAATGAAAGAAATGATACCTTTATTTAGTATTACTTCAAGAACTTAGGAAATATATAAAAGAATTTTAAAACTCATTTTATTAGTTAATACTTTTAATTCCCTAAGTAAAGTTATTCAACAAAATACTATATTGTATGGACATTCAAAAATATCATTTCTGTTTATTTATATAACCTAATGTTATTCAAGACTTCGTTTTCTAATTATATTTTGTAAAATAATGTATTATCATCACTTATTATATTCTGGTTATGTTGTTATTTTCATATTGTAATTTATTTATACTAAAACTAATTTTAATTCAATGAATTTTGATTGTAAGAGAAACAATTTCAATTCTTTAGAATATGATTCCATAAATAACTTATGAACTTCCAGACTCCAATCAATATTATTGTTTCTAAACTCAATTAAAGAGCTGTGTTATATTATTATTTAATAAACCAAAATATTTAATACTTTATTAATTAAAGGATTTTTCTTATAAAAATTACTGGTAACACAATTGTTTTGTATTTAAATATTCACTCCAATATTTAAACTTAACATACTTTATATCATAATACTTGTGTTTACAATGAATTTTAATGAAAATGAGCTATAAAAATAATGCTATTTATTCTAATTAGTAATTATTATTTAGTTATTATATTCACACCATTTTAATATGTATCAGTTGGTTATTTTTATTATCTATTTTAATATCACGAACTATTATTAATTTTATAATATTTTATGGAAGATTAATTTATAGTATATGATAAATGTTTTATTTTTGTTTATGGGTTTGTATTATTGAATTGAAACTAACTATATTTTTGTGAGTTATACTAATTACATTTCAGTTATATTTTATTCAATTTTGTTTTATTTAATTCTCTTAAATAAACATAGCATATAATAAATAAAAACAAGTTGATATTAAATTTATTGGAGTTGTATGACTTTTCTTAATATGATGAGACAAATATCAAATCATTCTTATTCATTTTAACAGCAATAACAATTCATATTTACAGAATTATGCTTTATTAAGTTTGTAATATTGAAATGAGTAAAGGGATACTGAAATTATATTAAAATAGCATCAGTATATATTTATAATAATTTTAATCAAGATTTACCTATTATGCTATTTGAATAAAACAGTTGTGCTGTTGTTAAATTTAATTTAAACACTTCATTCTAAATAAATATAAGAGTTGTATAGTTGAATAAAAACATTAATAAAAAGAAAATATTTACCGTCAAAATAAATTTTATCAATAGTTTTATTTCTGTTAACAAAAATGAAATAATATTACAAAAAAATAAATGCCAAAAATAATTCAAAAAGTTCATATGAAAATGGTTATTGCCTATATAATTTAATTATTTTATTTTCTATACTATGCATTATCAAAATGAAATCAAAATAATAATATGTTGAAAACTTATTGGTTATTTTAGGAAAAAAGGTGTATTATTTAATAAAATGTTATTATATATTAGAAAAAGAATGTTATTAAAGAATCTTTAATTATGAGATATAATTCTAAACAATATCGTATGTTTATAAATGGTTATTAATTTTCAATACAAGATTCTATTAAATTATTTTTGTTATATAACTTCTAATACACTGTTCAGTTTTAACAAATTTTTCAATACAACAAACGATAAATTACAGAAAAATAGTCTTTTTAGAATAGTAAATTATTACTACTTTATTATTCATTCCAAGGATCTTTTTAAATATTATTTACAACTTGTTCTCATTTACTTATTAACTAATCTGTGAAACATAATTAATTTCGTGCCAAAGTTAATAATTCTTCTTTTTGCTTCCATTTGTTTTAAAAGAGTTAT